CAGAGCAGCCCGCCGCCCACGGTCCCTGGTGGCCACCCTGGGGTTTGCTGCAGAGCAGACGCCTTGGGGTGGGGGCCTCCCTCCAGGTGGGGGTGGAGGGTGCGGTTTTGGTTTTTCTGTTTTCCCTTCCCAGTCGGGGCTGCCACAGCCGCTGCCGCCCTCACATGGAGCCCAGGCCTCAGCCTGGCTTTGTCCTGTCCTCCCTCCTCCCTGCATGGGTGGCGCTGTGCTGGCCAGGCCTGGGCTCCATGGCAACCGAGTGCACCTCAGAATCCACTCCGGAATTTGCTGCAGAGGGAAGGGCCCGCTCGGCTCCCTCACCTCCCGCCCTGTTCCTGCCCAGCAGCTACCGACAGGATGGCTGCTGAGAGCTCCCCCGTGCCTCTGGCTGATGCGTGGTGGGGGCTGGAGGGGCTGCAGGGGACAGACAGTCCAGAGAGGCGCTGGGAGCCTGCCTGCCTCAGGAGGGGGAGGCAGCCAGACCGCATCACCTACCCAGCTGGCACGTGCCCGCCGGCTGTGGGCTCTAACCGGGCACCTGGGCAGCGGTGAGGGTGCGTGTCTGTCAGGGCCTGGCTGCCCGCTCAGCAGCTGAGCCAGGAGAAGCCGTGTCTCCAGGACGGAGGGATGGTGCAGGGACAGACGGAGAGCTCAGTGCGGAGAGCGCAGTGAGCTGGGCAGGCGCCCGCGTGTGGCCGGAGGCTGCCTGGCTCCTGGCTGCAGCATCGGGGCCTCTGAGGAGTGTGGCCTAGGAGCCAGGGGCCCTGGCAGACGTGGTGAGGGCCTCGGCCACCGCCCAGGGGTACAGCATGTAAAGGGGGGGCTCGGGGCGGCCAGCGTTGGAGCCCCTGAGCCCCGTCTCCCAGGCCACTTCCCGCCTGTCCTCCTCCTAGTGTGACCAGTACCACAAGGGCATCATCTCGGGCTCCCTGTGCCAGGACCTGTGCCAGCTGCACAAGGTGGAGTGGCGGACCTGCCTGTCCTCTGTGCCCAGCCAGCAGGTGAGCCCGGGGCAGCCAGGCCAGGGCCAAAAAAACCCCCCCGCGGGCCTGGGGACCTGGCTCAGAGGCCTGGGTGCAGCGGGAGGGGGACTTCTCCATGGGGCCTGTCCCTGCGCCCACCCAGGTGTACAGCGGGCTCTGGCAGGGCAAGGAGGTGACCATCAAGTGCGGCATCGAGGAGAGCCGGAGCGCCAAGGAGGGGTCGGATGCGGCGCCCCGGCGGGAGCTGGTGCTGTTTGACAAGCCCACGCGGGGCACCTCCATCAAAGAGTTCCGGGAGATGACCCTCAGCTTCCTCAAGGTCAGCGGCTCTCGGGGGGCTGCGTCCAGTTCATGCCCAGGGGCGTGTGCACAGAGCAGGAGGCAGGCCTGGTGGGGCCTTACAGGGGTCAGGCTTCTGGCTGGGCCCCAGCTCCAAGCATCAGGCTCGCCCACGAGGCAGGGAGCACCCTGCTCCCAGGGTGTCAGTAGGGAGAGCAGGGAGCTGGGTGTGCACGGGAGGTGGGGTGAGCAGATGAGAAGCAACTGGCCCTGCCCAGCAGGCTCTCACCTCTGTGCTGAGGTGCCCACCCTCAGCCCCCTGAGCCCTGATGGAGCCACAGGGACACAGTCCTCAGAGCAGCTCCAAGAGATGCTGGTGGGTGGGCAGTCAGGGTGGGCTTCCAGGAGGCGGCAGTTGGAGGCTGGACTCCTCTAAGATGTTGGATGTGCTGGGTCCTGGGTGCAGCCCACCCGGCCAGCACCTGGGCACCTGAGGGCCTGGCACCCACACCAAGGCCGGCGTCCTGCCACCTTAGCCACACCCTGGCTCTGAACCACTGTCCCCCTTTCGTTTGGTCCCAAACTTCAGGCAAACCTGGGAGACCTGCCCTCGCTGCCCGCGCTGGTGGGGCAGGTCCTGCTCCTGGCCGACTTCAACCAGGACAGCCGGGTGTCGCTGGCCGAGGCCAAGTCGGTGTGGGCCCTGCTGCAGCGCAACGAGTTCCTGCTGCTGCTGTCGCTGCAGGACAAGGAGCACGCGGCCCGGCTGCTGGGCTTCTGCGGGGACCTGTACGTCACCGAGGGCGTCCCGCC